CAACTAACTTAAATAATTAAAAAAAATGCAGTGCCGGTGAAACTCTTACTGGCCAGATTGTCTGGGTAGTAGAAGGATGCTCTAAGAGGTAGATCTGTGCGAGTCCTAAGGAAGAGTGTAAAGACAGGAGCGGAAGTACCTGGAGTTACCCAACAGCTCCCATCACTGAATAATGCCTTTGTTTTGCAGAGACAAAAAGAGAATCTCAAATACTTGTCATTTGCTTTCTTCTCTTTGCTATTGCAAAGCACTTTGCAGCATTTTGAAGAAAACAACACTCAAGTAAACAACACTATTTTCTTTGAAGATGAAATCAATCCCAGAACACACCCTTTGAGGCTCTGAGTACATCTGACCATTTTCTCCACACCCCTTGACACACAAACTAAATGAGCCATTATGCTGTAAATTTGTCTTCAAAGAAACAAGGAGAGAGTCCAAGGACTTGGGCATGATGGTTCCTTGGACAGGGATTGCTTCCATCCAGCCTGCTGGTCCTTATGTATGAAGTCCCTGCCATCATTCTACTGTGTTTCTCTTCCACAGCACAGCAGGGATACATGCCTTCTGTGCCTGTTTCTGGACTCAGTGTCATCGACTATGTCTGTGTCCAGTAACTACAGCCTAAGGGAAAAAGACACATTTGACCTTGTAGCATTTGAAGTATGGCGTATTTGGCTTTGCTTGGGAAGTACATATGGACCTGGGCCGTGTGAGCATCAGAGAGTCCCTAGGGGATGTGGTATAGAGAGGTGAACTTCCCAGGCCCAGCCCTACTCCTTTGGCAGACTATGTTCTCCAGAATCTTCGTGGTGCCAGCTGCCCTTTGCTTCCCACCAGCCAATGGCTATAAATACAGTCACATTTCCCACATACTGTATTTATGTTTCAGAAAATGTCTGCGTTGCATACGTAATAGAGGAGATATAATTATAATATTTCAAAACTGGCCAAATTTCATGAAATATAAAATAACAGATGGCACCACACAATATTGGTGCGGTGTGCTTCGTTTAAATCATAACTGGGGCCTGAAAATGTTCCCATTTGGTGCAGGCTGGTGATGAGAGTGTAAGTGTTAAGGGATAGGTTTGGAGTGTCTCTGTTTCTTTATCCTCTTGAAGCTTATTTTGGGGAAAATGGAGCTGAGAAGCTGCCCATGCCTTAGGAGCCTCAAGTCCAGCCTTGCTGATTCACTGATTGCATGCACCCCAGTGTCTCCATTAGCTGGATAGTAGAGATATGACCTATGTACCCACGTTATGGCTTAGACACTGCCTGCCTGTCTGCATGTACATTTATCTCCCATGTGATCATCTGTTCACTGAGAGCTCAGCTAAGTTTTTAAGCCTTCAGATAGAGCACAGCAGTTATGCTGGATGTTTCTAGACAGATGTGAGTTATGTTTTGACCCCACATTTGACAGCTGTTTTCTTTCCTTCATCCAAAGCCAACGCGATTTGTGATATCACTGGTCCTCAGCAGTTCCTTGGGAACTGGAGTTTAATGTGAAATCAGACCAGGTGACTCACATGCTACTCTAGAGCTCAACTCCTCTCACACTGAGCAAAACGATTCACTAATTTGGACAGGCCAACATTTGCGTAAGTGCTCACACAACCCACATTCTACAAGTGGCTGTATTCTCCTCACTCCAGTTGCCCTTTCCATATTCCTGAAGACACTATAATATTCAGTCATATGTTTTCAGACCCTCTATATATGTAGAACAATATAGGCCAACACATGCCTGTTGGAGACTCTCTTTGCCTGAAGGTGAAGTCTTTCATGATTCAGCCTTTCCTGAGTCAAATGCCTGAAGAAGCAGTCCCAGCTGGTGGAAATAACTGGTGAGTGTTTGTATTTAACCTTCTGATAAGAAATGATTTCCCTAACTCCTGTCCAACACAGGCACTTGAGAATTTGACTATAAGGAAACCATTGATCTTTGGGCAGAACAATTTTAATGGGAGGAGATAATACCTTTGCTTGGTATGAGGAGGATATTCTAGTGATAGAAATAGTTCAGAGAATGAAAAGCTCCCTCAGGAGGTAGTAGTGCCCATGAGCGGAGGAACCCATAGGGCTATATCCAAGTGTGCTACACTTGGTGACAGTAGAAGGACACTAGGGACTTGCTTTGCCAAGTGCAGCCAACCACCTGCAGTAGAAGTCCTTGGAGGCTTGTTCGAAATGTGATTCTCGGGCTCCACTGAGATCTAAGGAATCAGTTTGAATTTGGGCAAGATCTCCAAGTGCGGTGTGTACTTTATAATCTGGGAATCCCCGTTCTCCAGGACTCCCTCTAGTGGGCATGTCTGTCTGAGTGAATTGGGGTTACTAAGTGCATATGACTACTTGTGGCCCTCAACTCTCTCAACTCTGAGGTAGAGAAACTGAATACAAGTAGGGTGAGAGGACTCTTCCAGGCTCCTCTACTCAGACGTGTTCGTAACACAACAGGACTGGAATGCTTTTGCCTTCTGTCCCACTGATGCCCACTCTCTTGTAATCTAGAAAGCGTGCTGAAAACCACACAAAGTTGTTTCTTTGAACTTTACCACTGAATGGCTCCGTGAAAATGATAACATCGTAACTAGATGGGGTAAAGCTTTAAGCCATCATTAGCAATTAAGCTATTAATGTTAATTAGTGCATCAATTTACTATAAGAGAGCAGGGCTTATCATCTTTGTATCCCCACTATTTAGCATGTTGCCTGACAAATATGATTATATAATTTTTTCTATGTCTATATGGCTTTTTTTGCAAATAAGGATTTGGAGTGACATTACTAGTCAAGTAAGTTTTTCTGGAATCAGAATGCCTCAGATTCGGGATAATTCAAGAAACATGTGGGTAGCAAGATTCTACCCAGAAGAATTTTTGAGGATTCTGGAGGCCCAGGGATCTGGATTTGGTCAGGAAGGGAGGTGGGGTGTGATGGAGCAGCATTGAGCATTCACACTGTTATAGGTTGCCACCTCCTCCACAACACGCATATGGTGAGCTACGTGAACCACACAGAGGGTGTCTTAGTTACTGTTCTTCTGTTTCCATTAGACACCCTGACCAAGGCAACTTACAGAAGAAAGTTTATTGGGGGTTTCAGAGGGTGAGTCCTTGACCATTATGGCTAGGAATGTGGTGTTAGCAGGCAGGCAGGCATGGTGCTGGAGTGGTAGCTGAGAACCTGCTTACATCTTGATCCATAAGTACAAGGCAGAGAAAACTAGCAGGGAGTGGCATGAACTTTTGAAACCCCAAAGTCCACTTCCAGTAATATCCCTCCTCCAAGAAGTCCATATCTCCAAATCCATGCCAAACAGTTCAAACAACTAGGGACCGAGTATTCACACACACGAGGCTGTGGGCCATTCTAGTTCAGATCACCACAAAGGGTGACTCCTGCTGTGTGGCTGCTCCTTGTGCTCTCCAGAACTTGTATTGGTGAAATTACTGAGGCCACTCCACGTAGTTAAAAGGGAGGTTTATTAGTGGCATAACTTACAAATGAAGAGATAGGTAGGTCGCAGGTTCTGGGGAAGATGTAGCGCAGTCCGGCAGTGTTCTCTGGAGAACTCTGCTCGGTCTACCTCTAGCGTCCAGGGTCCAGGAATTAAGAGAGGGCGGTGCATCTGGATCTCAGGTCTTCAGGGCCCTTTCTTGGCCCCGCCTTGTAGGCGTGATAGTTACCGAAGCCTCAATGGGGGTTGGAACTTCCAGACCAAAGCTGGAATGGCTACCCACTACAAACTTGGATTATGCACCTGGCTGGCTTTACAATCTTAGGTGTAATATGACAAAATTCCCAAGATTGTGCATTCTAGCCAGATTGGTATTCAAATCTAAGCGTGTTTCTTCTTAGCCACTTAATATTCTTGAACAAATTACTCAATCTCTTTAATCCTCTTTGTCCTCACCTTTAAAATGATGATAATACCAGCACCAACCCACAGGGCCACAGTTAGGTTGCAATGATAGAACACAGTATGTTTTACTCAGTATCAAATGATGAGCAAATACTGTACATTAAAATTGCCACTGCCATTGTGTTCCTATTGTGAGCTTTGTAAGCTACTGAAACCTGCACTTGGACATGAGCATATATTTATTATCAGAATTTAACAGGATCTTCTATGACTTTCTAGCACCACCTAAGGATGTCTTCTGGGCCGCTTCCCTCTCTGCCATGTGTTCTTGCTCCAGGATTCACCTGCACCCTTCTTTCATCCATGCAAATAGTTTCCTGGGAGACTTTCATTTGTACACAGGCATGGTAGATACATATGCTTATAACAAAGGTTATTTCACTGAAGGTATTTCACGTAACCTTCTCTGCCATACTGATGAATAAATTCTTCACGACAACGCTGAGAAATGAGAAGAAAATTCTAAACAGGAGGCCAAGCTCAAACCTTCTCATGTTTAAATAACCTCCTATGAAGGAAAACTAGTTAGGAATCCTAGAGATGAGGGGGACTCTTCCTAAGTGTTATTTTTTCAAGTGATTGGCTTGTTTCACTGGGAGATAATAAAGGAGTTGTCTCCTTTCATGCTGTTGTCCTGGAGTGCCTTAAAGGAGAGGATTGTAGATCTTGACCTTTCCTAGAAAATAAGAGCTCAGACTCATACGAGCAGAAGTCAGCACTTCTGGGTGGGTCACCTGAGTGCATTCATCACTTTTCTCCGAGTCTCTCCTGGTCCAGGCAACCACCACGGATATCATGGGAATTTCATTAACACACTTCCATAGTGTTCCCTGGACTGATCTCAAGCATAAGTACAGTTCTGTAAATAAGTATCACCCTGAACATGAGTGAGGACGTTGTCCTGTTAGTCACTATTGTCAATCATTTACTGAGTCCCTACTGTGAGATAAGTGCAAATGACTAAATTTCCTGCTCTGGAGAAGTTTACGAGCTGAGAGTGTATACAGAAACATAAAGAAATACAACTTTTTTTTTTTTTTTTTTTTTTTTTTTTTAGTATGTGCTCTAACAGGAAATACAGCAGGTGAAGGAACATCCCACATCCAGGAAAAGAAGTAGACAACTCTTAATGATCCTTACCAGAAAAACACAACAGCCCAATTCACACTGTATGGTAGAAGTTCAATGGGATGGGCCCCGTGGTCAAATGTGTCCATTGAATTGGGATGTCCGATTATGTAGGAGGTTGTGTTTCAACAGTTCCGTGAATACCATTCCTAGGAATCAGTGATTAGAAGGGAGTGTGGGAGTAGGAGAAAGGCATTCTCAGGACTCAGCTTTTCCAATCCAGCTGCAATGAAGGCATGGAGGCTCCCAGAGACAGAGATCTGGCTTGTTGTCTGGAGAGAATAGATACCACCCTGTCTCTTCATAGGTGAGTCTCTTTCTGTACTTCCTCCTTCTTTACTTTACGTTTATGTCCCAAGACACAGAAATCTGGCTTTGACACCCTGATTTTGACTATAGCCTGTAATGCCCTCCCACTGACAGTCATCTCCTGGAAAAATGTTAATATATGTTTTCCTTGGGTTTTGGTGGCTGCCTGTGTTGTCATCCTCTTGGGGACCTTTTCCATATCGATTTGGTGACAAAGCAGTGTCTTTATCACCCTCCCTCCATCCTTGGTTTCTTCAGAGAGTTCTTTCAGGTTCACTTCTCCGTTCTCTTAGTCCTGGGTTCACTTTTCGGGAACTTGTTTCATGAACATTAGTGATAGCTCCCATGACCATGTGATTTAATGGGCATGATTACAGTTTCTCTCCCCAACAAGTCCTGAAGCAGTTGAGAAAAACCAAGTCAAATGGATGTATAACTATGAAGTTTATGAAGGGGAACAGTGGTTCATGTCCAGTGTACCCACCAAGAATGTTTTATTTCATGTCCTTCTTTCTCCCAAATGGCCATCTTCACTCAGCCACAGGCCAGCTGACCTGTCAGCTGTCAGTGTTGTCTTCCTCAAGAGATTGGACCGTCCAGGGAAGCAATCACACATGGACCACTGGCAGTTTTTCTTTTACAAGGTAACATGACAGAGAAGAAGAGGGAAAGGAAGAGGAAACAAGGGAGGGAGGGAGAAAACAAGTGAATAAACACATATGACTATAGATGATCAAAAACTGCACGAATCCTGCCTAATAGAGAGACAAGAGCTTCGGCACACCAGACTTTTATCATTTCTCCAGTCAAATGAATCTGTCTTCTTCCTCTCTCTGGAGAGAGTAGGCACCACCTTTTCTTTTCATGACATCTATTATACAGCATCATCCCCTTTCTTTTCCCCTTTCCATCCCCCTCCCCCCTTTCTCTGTGTGTTTCGGTGGTGCTTAGGATAGTGAGGCAAGCAGGACAAAGTTTTTATTTCAAAACGTTTTCTGAGAAGGGACAGATGTTATTACACAAAGGTAGAGAAATCTGGAGCGAGGTGAAGGCAACTCCCCCAGTTACTACCTACACTGACAACGGTATCCTTAGTTAAAACTCTTTTCTGAGCCATAGTTTTATAGATGGAACTTCTTGATTGGATGTCTCAAGTGTAATCACAAGCCAGCTTGTCCTGAAGGCACAGCCTAGCACTGAGTTTGTCCTGTATGTCAGAGACTGTACAGCAGCCCCATGTGAGCTCTAACATCAGACCTTCCTGTTGGCTCTTTGAGGTCGATGATGAGGGTCGTGGGTGAAATCAAGTGGTAAAATGAGGATATGTGGCTAGTCAGCAGCCTGACTCCACAACTGTTAGCTACAATACTGTGCTGACTTCTCAGCCTAGACCACAGCTGTTCTCTCCAGCTGGGTTGGAACTGAGTGCATTCTTCCTCAGTCACTAACATCATTAGCATCCAGGAATATAACAAGCGCTCGTGGTGTCAGTTTTTCAAACCCCTCATTGCCACTGAATCCTGAAGACGGTATTAACTGAACCCCTCCAAGCCTATCACCGTCATTGAAATCTATAGACTGAGCTCCTCTCTTTTACCTGGATGGCTACAGTGTTCCTCCAGATCCAGGTCAGCTACCTTCCACACTAAACCGCATCCAGTATCTAGAGTGGTCCTGTGTACCCACAGAGCATCCCAGAGAGAGATGAGCTACTCAGCAGAACCTGCAGTGTCTGAAGATCAGGTACCCTTCAACTCCTCTACTGTGTCTGCGGGGCTGGCATGGTTTGTCTTTGGACTGGGTGACCTTATTTCACTTCCTGAAATGGATCGTGATCATTTTCTACTAGTGCCATGACCCTTCAGCACTGGCTCATTCTTTGGCTCTCAGATGGAATCATTCCTTCCCAGAGAAGCCTTCTTTATCCCATCAAACCAGGCCAAGCCTCCCATTTCTCCTTTCTTATCACAATGCATCTTTATATCCAGGCAGTTGTTACCTTTATGACTTTGGTTGTTTGTTTGAATGGTTGCTTAATAGTTCTTTACCTTCCCTAAGACCATAAATTCTGGAAGCCAGAGGCCTCATCTGGTGCTAATCTCTGTTTTATCTCAAGGGCCAAGTTTAGTTCTAGAGAGGTTTAGTAGATGCTAATTGGACATTTAGGAAGGAGGACAATTCCTCCTTCCCCCTCCATGACACCCCCCCCCCCACCGTGTGTATTCATGACATAGGATAAGGGTGAGGTTGGGAACAACTTGCCATAGGTTTCCCCTCCCACCATGTGGCTCTTTGTAGCCTGAGCTCAGGTCAATGGGTTTGATGGAACACACCTTTACCTACTGACGGAGCCATCTTCTCAGCCCTGGATACTATTCCAATGATGGTAGAGGCTTACACCAGTTGGGCCTTTCTAGGAAGCAGATACTGTTCAGTAGTAAACACAAATTGTCATTGCATTCTAACAACCACAGGAGATAATGACCTTGCTTATCCCAGTCATACAGTGAAGCAACTGAAAAGGAGAGAAGCAAGAACCATACCCAGAGGGGCTAAATATCAGAGCTTGATTTTAGATCCAGTTCTGTTTGGGTGTCTCTGATGAGACCCTACCACTTCTGCAGCACCAACAGCCAGCCTATCTGTCCAAAATGGCCTAACTTCTGTGGTGATATTTGGAATGTAATTCTCACTTATTAACATAAAAGTTTATCTCTGACTGCAGTAGATGCATGTTGTCATACTTACTTTTTTTTTTTTTGCTTTGTTTTGTTTTGTTTTCATGCATGGGAGAAGACAAAGAGACAATCCAGATAACATGAGGTCAACAATCCAGAGCCCTGTTTGAACAATAAAGACCAAGATGCAGATCTGGAGCTCAGAAAAAAAAGAAAGAAAAAAAAAAGGCCATCTGAAGTTAGATGGGAGGGCGAGGGGAGCCCTTCTTGCTCCTTCCTCCAAGCCCATGAGGTAGATGGGAAGCTTCTCATGGACATCAGAAGCTAGAGAAATGTGGTAGTTTCTGGAAATGAAACCCAAAGAAGCAATCTTGAGGTTAACATGTTTATATAAAGGTATTGTTTCCATCTGAAATGTAGACCTGGAAGTTCCATGATGGGTATTTGTGGGGTCAGCTCAAGACTGACTTGTTGGAACGCAATCAACCAGGGTGTCACTGGACCAGTCTTTAGACACCTTCAAGCTCCTGGTTAAATGATTCCTAGATTTTCACTCACTCCTTGTGGCTGCTCAGTTGGATGAATACTCTGCATAATTCACCAGGTAGGAAAACAGAGACCTAGAGGAGAGGATACCTATCTAAGACCATAAGAGCATATTACATTCTGGCTTTTCTGTCTAGAAAGTCACCTTATCATCTGCACTTGGCCATTGTAAAGATCATTTATGACTCCAGGTTGTAGAAAGACGGGATGTTCTTTAGTTCATTTATGCCTGTGCACATTTATTCTGTGGTTACTAAATATTTCTGGAAACTGAGGAATAGAGACAGAAGAACAAGGAAGGCTCCTACTTTAGAATACAGAAATGCAATCAGTGACCATGGAACTAACACAGGCTTCCTGTTTTCTAATATTCCCAGTAGAAGCATCACCATATCCTAAGTTGTAACCTTTTCCCACAGCAATGTGGTGTGGAGTAAGAAAGCTCAAGGTAAGGGGTCTGCAAAAGGCAGGAGGCCTGACAGAATGAGGAATCTACACAAGATGAGAAGTCTGAAGCTTGAGGACTTGCACAGAGCAAGGGCCATGCATGAGTAAAAAGACTGCACCAGGTAAAGGAACTGTTGTGCATGGTAAGAGATCTTCATGTGTCAAGGGGTCTGCAGAGGGCCAGATGCTCCTGTATTGCCCTTCAATGCTGTGATGCTCAGAAAACAAATGCCTGGCACATAACTCCGAGCTGATGTTTCCCTATCTGCATCTCATAGAAGCTCAAGGATCTTTCACAAAGATGGGTCTTGTTGACCAATGTAGAGGACTACACTTGTTGCATGTCTGTCTGATTGCAGTGCCGCCTTCTTCTGAAGCTAACGTCTGTACCCTGGCCTTCTGGCCTGCCTTCTTTCCCTCTCATTTCTCTGTGTCCTTGTGAGCAGCAGGGACTTTCCTTCAAACCATCATTTCTATTTTAGATCCTCTCCCACAAAATCTGTACTTAAGAGATAGCTGATGAAACACCATGGAGAATAAGTAGAAGGTGCTCTGTAGAGTTTACCAGCTCAGCTCTTTGTACAAGGGTTTGAATACGCCATTGAAGAATCTTATTATTTCATTTTTTGTCTGCATTCTAGAGCATGGTGTTAGTGTCTGCGCACAGACCATACTGCTTCCTTGCCCTGGCTACTACTGAAACTCATTGGCTTGCCCTGAAAGAGGCATAGAAATTATGTCTTCCAGCTGGGCCCTCTATGGACAGATGCCTTTATAGGTCACAGGGGACTTTTGACCTATCCATGTGTCTTTTTACAAGTTATGGGGAACATGAATTAACCTCTAGGGAGGCCAGTATTATCTAAAAATGTGTGTAGAATTTCAATGAAAGCTTTATGATGAGTGTACTTTGATATTTGGATGGATAAACTCAAGTTCTTGCAAAACAAGCTTACTTAGGATGGCAGAAAGCTGGGTGGCCATGTTAGTAGAGCCAACATCATAGAATCTTTATGACATGAGCCCAACGGATGAATAGTTAGATCATTGAAGGTAATGACCTGGGGAAAGAATAGTATGGTACTCATGGGACTCCTGTTAGCTCACTTGAAGATGGATATCATAAAAACCCAAGCTGGGCACTTCCTTCCCCCTCAAAGCATCCCCATTAAGTAGGTGCTGCCCATGTGTGCTGATCTAGGCAAATCCATCTGGGGTATCATCATCACCAAGAGATACAGATTTGGCTTAATAATACATGTTGTAAAAACAAAGTCTGAGAATTCAGCCACCATGGAGACTACCTAAGTGAATGGCAGCCTGAAAACCAAATGCAGGTCGACCAAATACAGTCTGCCATCTACCATCTATGGAGAAGTGGACCTACAACACTCTAGGCACCAAGACCAATATGGAAGACCTGCTTGAGCAAAGACTGAATCTGACCTTTGATTCATCTGCTCTAACACTGGGTGGTGGAGATGGGGGTGGGGGAATGATGCTAAAATCAAGACAGGATACAAGAGAGAGAACATATCTGGTTGTAACATGGACCTTTACAGCTCTGGGCTCTCTGTCTGGTGCTAGACTATGATAGCTGGTTGGCTGGCTACCAGATGGGTTTTGAGACCAGAATTACCCAGAGCAACAACATTGCAGTTGACTACAGATGAATGGCAGAATAGAGTTTGGTGACTCCATTTACCAGCAGTAAAAACAAGGCTGGACACTGTTGTCAGCCTCACCTGGATAACATGGAAAAAAAATGACACTCCTTTGTAATAACAACCAACTGACCTTGTGTCTGCCTTTCAGGCCAAGTGAATGACTCCACCCTGATTGACTGAGGTCGCATCCAGACCCTAAAGCCAAGAATCAAAGTGACACTGCCAACTCGGCTGGACAGCAAGAGCCGCACTCCAGAGGACCACAAACTTGTTCTAGACTAGAATTTCAAGCATAATTTAATATAGTACAATAGCTAATTTTAAGCTATTTTGCCTCACACCTACCTTCAGAATTTAGTGTACCTTTTAATGTTGTGTTTCAAGTATGGAGGAATTGCTAAGCAATGTTAGGCCTCCAGGTTAAGGATAACTTAGCTCTAAGGCATTAAATTTTCAAAGGTACAGAAGAAATCCAATTCCCAAAATTGTCTTCTCACCTATACAGCTGGTGGGGGATGGGAGTGCTTCAAGAGATGCCAGGTATCTTTCATTCTTTTTTATTGGTTGTTTTTAAATGGCTTCAAGAGGAAGCTAATAGTATGTAAGCCCTTCATAAATCTGCACTGTGTCCATGTGAATGAAACTGTGAGCATCAAACATTGGTGACCTAACTCTAATTGCTAAGAAGCTCTAAGCTTAGTAGTTTGTACCACCCATCTGAAAGGGATGTTTTAGAAGGATTGCCATGCTGTATTTCTCTCTGACCTCATTAGCACCAGTTTTGCACCAAAAAACAGTCTGGAGGGCGTGGTTAGCTGTTTCTGCGCACAGTTTTTGGTGGGAGTGGATGGTGTGACGATGCCAATAGTTTAGGACTTAGTTCCTTTTCATGATGTAATGGGTATTTTCCTTCTTTCCTTTTCTTCCTGCATCTTACACTTCCTTCAGAGTGTAAGACAGCTTCCAGGGTCTATGGCTCCAAGCTGGTGTCCACGTGGTGGCAGCACTAGGGATCAGAATGGGACTTCTGTTATTTTCTTGCCACTGATTGTTAGCAATCCAATGGGTACATTTTAGAGCCCTCCATTTTGTGTGGAATTAGGTCTCCCCTTTAAATGCTGTAATTAACATAATTTAAAATAAGACTTGAATAGAATATTGAAAACTAAAAAACCCCAAAACAAAACGCTTAAGCCTGGCTCCTGAATCAGTCCAGCCCCCAGACTCACCGATGATCCCTCAGTTTCCCCCATCCTCCTGCCACAATGCTGTACACCATGTTGTAACCCAGTTAATAGATCCAGTTCTTCCTAGGTGCAACATATGGGACTACCCGATTTGGATTTTCAGCCCCCCATACTGTCAACTAACTAAACCTCTTATCTTTACAAGGCCCCCGGTCTCAGGTATTTTGGTATAGCAACTGAAAACAGACAAACACAAATACTCCAGTAGTGTTTTCTTGGATCAAGAAGGCAGAGCCAATGACAGGTCCAGGGAAGGACAACTATGTATATGAATGAAAGTATATGAATGAAGTGGGTCTGATGGGGCTACAAGTAGAGATCACGTGGTTTTTATTCACATAGAGGGAAGAACCAGCTGAAACAGATCTTCTGCTTTTTTTCTTTTTTTTTTTAAGAGAAATTAAAAATCTGGATGAGCAGATGTTTAAATACTGGCAGGATACTCCATCTATAAAATGCTTGTGGACAAAAACCACATGACACAGGGGCAAATCCATCACTCAGGCTGCCTATTGGCAGCCCCTGGTGCACACGCTATAGAAAGACAGGCCCCAGAAGCTGTAGACCTTGATTGAAGGCCTCTTAAAAGGGGAGGTGACTGAAGAGGTTACTCAAGGTACCTGTGGAGACTCCAGTGGTTAAAAAAAAAAAAATCCATGTTACTGCTGCTGTGAGACCTCAGAATGTAGGCACCACGTGGCACTCATATTCCAAATTTTGGGTCAAAAGTTGCAGCCAGGGAGAGGCAGGGGCATGGGGACCCCAAAGCACAGCTATACCCTCTGCTCTAGTGTGTCTATCTCTGTATTCCTCATTGCTGACACCATGGGTCCTGACGAAATACTTCATGACCTGAGATCCATCTTAACATGATGCTATGTTGGTGGTGGGAAAGGATAGTAGGGAGGAAGCAGGCCACAAGAGTCCTAATTCAGGACTAGTGTTGTTAGGGGGTTCAGATTGGACTGTGACAGCAAATAATTATCAAGGGACATGCAGCAGTGACATCTTGAGGTGTCCTGGGTGTGTTGGTGGCAAGAGATGCTTGCAGGGGCTGTTTGTGTGCATATGTGAGTGTGTGTGAGTATGTGTGTGTGTTTGTGTGTATACTTAGCTACAAGCTCCCCCTGATTGCCTATTTTGGTATTGTGCCACAGTATTAACCATGCTGTTTTCTCCACCCACACATCTCAGTAAGAATATATGCAGTTTGGAATTATTGGTGCCAGGCAACAAGAGCTTCATCTGGAAAGGGTATGAGGGTCAATAAACTGATTGGCTTAATAATCTTCCTTGTTCCACAGTTGCCAGGGCCTCAGGCCCAACATTCTTGGCCCATTTGAAACCTTTGTTGGTAGTAGAAATAGGGAGCTCCTCAGATTTCATGTTGAAGACTTAAAGAAATGAGCAGAAGTCCACTCAAAGCTGCTCTGAGATCTACCGGCTCAAAGTGCAGGCAACCTACTTGAACTATTCTTTTTCATTTTGCATCAGTATCTGTGTTCTTGGGGGAGACCCTTTCATTCCCGGGAGCAAAAAGCGTAACCCCCAAATTTAAAAAAAATCAAGATAGAGGAATTAAGTCCTGAAGAAAAAGCAAACAGTCACTTTATTTCTGAGATTTCAGTTTAATGGTTGGAGTCTTTGGGTTAACAGCCCAGCTTGTGCGTCTTTAGTTGAACTGGACTTTGGAGGCCTTGGAGGCTCTTACATCCTTCAAGGAAACATCAAAAGCAAAAGCGAGTGTGTCAAACACGGGTACCTAGTGAAGCTTGAAGAATCTAATTTTGCAGGAGGGCATCTTCATGTAAGTGCAGCCTCCACGGTGTAGCAAGGCAACCCTCTCTTCGCTGAGGAGGGAAATCAGTTTCATTTCAATCTGCAGCTTCCCACGATTTCAGTCCAAATAGATACAGCTTGAGTTTGTTTTCCCCCATCATTATTGCCCGATCCAGTGTTTCCATTTTAAAAAGTGTGCATGTGGACTGAACCAGAGCATGGATTATTTAAAAGACAGTCCTAGTTGATTTCATTTAAATGGCCCCAGTATCTTTGCCTAATAGTCAGTGTATTCTCAGTAAATACTCAGATATGATTGGGCTGGGGGTTTTCTTTGCAGCTCTCACAACAGAGAAGTGGGGATTTGCATGGCCCCTGGCACTGACCCAAGAGCTCTTGGCTTTCTCCTTCCTTTCCCTGACGACCTGGACACAGTATCCGGACCACTGTCTACCTTCTTAAGCTTTCATTCTGTCTACTCGCACTGAATGAAATGTTATTCTGAGCATAATGGGTACTCAGGCACAGATACACTGCTCAGCAAACATTGCTTGAAAATAAGGTAAGTGGCCCAAGGACAGGTGCTGACTTAATTTTCCATGTACAAAGATACATACTGAGTTGGAGTGAGACCCTCTAAAACTACTCAGCCCCTTCCAATAACACTGAAGATTACTCTAGTCCCAGCAATGCTAGGGACCAGGCAGAATCCCTCCTGCTTCTATGGAGCTTGGGGACAGATGCTGACATAATTCTTTGAGGAACATGTGACTCCCTGCTGCTCTTGGCAATGGAGCTAGAGAATAGCAGAACTTAAACAAAAACATAGGTGTGTGGTCTTCACTGCAGGTTTCTTGAATCATTTAAGCTTTCTTTTACAATTGGCAAAAGCAGTCAGTATACTAAAGTCATTGTCACTCAGCCTCTAGGGACAGCTCTTGCCAACAGCAAGGTCTCCTGCATCTCCTGTCGTTCTGCTCTGCTATAGTGGTCCAGTGCCTTGCACAAAGGGTCACTGTCCATGGGGATGTGCCAGCCACGAAGACAGAGAGGGGTAAGCGAGGGGTAGGCAAAGCGCTTTGGTTCTATGGAGGACTTGGGCCTGGGTTGATAAAGCCCTGGCAGCAGCTGGTATCCTGCAGGGGCGGAATGGGATTGGGAAGAAAGGAAGGGACTCAGTTGAAATTTTCTGCTACTGATTGAACATGCCCCCTGGGGAGACATGAAGTCAGGCAGTGAGTGACTGTGTAGGCTTCTTTTTCTTCTCCCTTCCCCCTCCCTTTCCTTTTTCTGCAGCCTAATGCAAATCAATAGACATGTATTCACTGTCTAACAAGACAGTCAAGGAGAGAAGAGTAGCCTTTTCATTCCAGAAGGGGGAGAAGGGTAGAGAGAGGCAGCTCCACACAGGGAGGGGAGGAGGGCAGGAAACATGAGGGCAGTTGAAGAGGCTGAGAAGGAGTGGGAGGAGCAAGCCAATCAGGAAGCAACAGAAGCACCAGGGGCAGGAGCTTGGGCTGGGCCTTGCCTGCTCCCTCACTGCCAGCTGTATGTGTTCCTTCACACACAACAACCCCCGCCCCCCTTCATCATGGGAAATGGGGAGTGGCCATCTCTCTACTTGATAAAATACTTTAAATTTTCTTAAGAACTATTGGCAGTGGGGATTCACACAAAGATGAAAATCTAGTGTGATTTTTTTTTTTTTAAATTCAGTTGCCCCTTAGTATCCACTGGGCTGGGTTTCAGGACCCTGGTAGATGTTAAGATCCCAGATGCTCAGGTCGCTGATACAGAATGGAAGAGCATTTGCATATGTTATCTACCTACTGTAGATTTCAAATCATCTCTAGATTACTTAAAACACTTAATACAATGTAAATGTTATGCAAATAGTTGTTATGCTGTGCTGCTTAGGGAACAAGAACAAGAAAAAAGAAAGTCTGCACGTGTTCACAGAGTCGTAGTTTTTTTTTTTTTTTTTTCTCCTGAAGTTTTCTGTTCTGGGGAAGTGAAGCCTTGGATCTGGAGGGCTGATTGTATTTATCTAAACTTGCATAAGGCACACATATCAAGTGAAAGGTCGTATGAAGGTGTAAGCTTAGTTATAATGTTTGCTAGAGCAAGTCTACCTGGTTTCTGGACCATCCATGAACTGGGATACTACTAATGTGGTCAGAAACCTCTGTAGCAATAATGGGGTAGTGAGTAGAGGAGGCTGTTGGAATTCAGCCTTTGGTCTTCACTTGAATCTTTGACTTGTTGGCTTTTGGGGTGTACTTTTCTCTTTGCTTTGTTTGCTTTGCTTTGCCTTTTGGGAAGGGGGCCTCATTAACCCTTCCTCTGTGTTGCTTCATGTGGGGGAAGCAGATAGATGAGACCCTTGCCGTTCACATCTTTGCTGCACACCTCAGCAGCTATAGCTCGCTCATGTGCCGGCGACACCTGTCGGTCAGACTGTCACTGTACACCTGGAAACCTGGTGTTCCAGGTATTCAGACAATTGTGTTTGCCATCTGTTCTGCTTAATGACAACTAGGAATGTGACCAATACGCAGTTCACATGGAGGCCTGACCTCTAGTGTTTTCAGAAACCTCTTAGGAAGGACAGTAAAGGGTTTGAAAGACATAAGCTTCAAGGATTTGAAATCTGTTAAGAGGAAATAGAAGTGGGCAGGAGGTGGGCCTTTCTTTGGAAAAGGAGCAAGAGCAGGTGACAGTTTAGTAAAGATTGCTGTGATTAAGTGTCTGCAGAAGGACATGACAGCCAGAGCTGAATAGATTTATCCCCACAACACTTACCATAGTTGTGTTACCATAGGGTGATCCCAGGAAAGAGAGGTACAGGGTATCTTGGAGGACAGAAATCAGGAGTACTGAAAGTGATGGATTGGGGGGAATTCTCTGTTAGACATTTCTGACCCCAGAACCCTCCATTTCTGCCACTTTGGCATGAAGGAGAGATTCAGTATTTGAAAGA